GGGATTCTTTTCTTTGCAGTGTAAAACCGAGCCTGGGGGGGGTAACCCCCCACCAGGAAATTCATTCCGCGCAATGACCCGCGGCTGCGCGCTCGCGTGCGGGGGAAGGGGTCGGACATACCCTGGACCCCAGTGCCGGTAGAGAGAGAGAGAGAGAGAGATAGCTTTCCCCCGAAAACCCCAAACATTGGGGAGCCCTTATGGGCCGGGGGGCTTAAGATGCCCCTTAACACCCGAAGGAAGAATAGGAAGAAGAAGAAGAAAGAAGAAGAGAGAGATGGATAGATAGAGAGAGAGTCAAGTTCATAGCCGTTTTGGCTCAAGTCGTCTGCCTCGCCTTTCGGGGCGTGCTCGGGAGCGGCCCTTGGGGCTGGAGAGTGTTTGCTTTCCCGACCCGGAGGTGGACGTCTTCCGGAGCAGAAGCGGCTTGAGGCCACTCGCCGCTAAGTTTCGGCTCGCAAGGACCCGTCCAGGGACCGCGCAAGTGAAGTCGCTGACCGTCCACCTCTTCCCAGAAGGCGACCAGGGCAGGTAGATAGAGTCAAGATGGGACGGGGGACACCAACAACGGCGCGGTCGCGATAGTGGCAGGGACACCGAGAGTACGGCCCGAGGCGGGGTAGCGCGGAAGCTGCTCACCCAAGCTTCACAGGAAGACCCGGACGGAAGACTCCAGGACTCCGAGCGGAATTTGCCGGGCACCGCCTCAAGGGAGACCAGCAACGAGGTGAAACACACGGCGCCGCCCCAAGGAGACAAGCCAAGCCGGGCAACCCAGCATGATTTCGAGAACTTGCCAGCAGACCAACAGGAACAAGTACCCCTACGAACGACGTCGGAGTCGAGGGCGGCACCACCTCGAGCACCACCATCGGTGAGAAGGAGGACATGCCCAAGGCCAAGAGTACCCGGGAAGATGGCATGCCAGCTGGACACCAGAAGCCCGCAAGATGACCTTAAAGAAAGGTCCTTGCCACACACCACTACACCACTATACCAGACCACGACACCCCATACCAGTATACCACTGGTCTCAACTGCCGTATGGTACTGCCACTGCCGCGGCTGCTGTTGCTGCTACTGCTCTGTTACTGTACTGCTACTGCCACAGCCAAGGCTACTGCTGCTACATGCTGCTACTACTGCTTCTGCAGCCAATAACCCGAACTCTAGTGAAGCGACGGGGTTTTGTTAGGCTGTAACCCGAACTCCTGTAATTAAAGCGACAGGAAACCTTGAAAAGCCATCCCCCCATTTGCGCGACCTACAGTAGCCCCGATGAACGAAGTTTAGACGCTACTTGCTGAGCTGGGCAGGTGCTGATCCTTACTGCAGTTGCAACGCCGGCACCTCAAGCCATTGCACTGGTTGATGCATTTGATGCTGAAATTTGCTGTTTTATCAGATTTGACCCTGGTTGTCGCATCCATCGCAGGTGCTCGAAGTTCGTTAGAATTTCGCCAGCCGGGCAGATGAAGCCTGAGGGGTGCTGGGCGGTGGTGGAAGCGCCGGCACGGCAGCTTGGCGCGGAAGCTTCAACAGGCATGATGTCGGGGTCGTGGAGTCGAATGACAGGTGTCCGATGAGCCAAGAAGACGGAGGAAGGAATGAAGGAAAGGAGAAAGGACGGGAGGGAAGGGAAGGAGGAAGGAAGGAAGGAAGGAAGGAAGGAAGGAAGGAAGGAAGGACCGGTTGTGCTGCTAGGTGAAGTGATTGAAATTTACACACCGACGCCGTGTTACTGTTACAGTGTTGACGACTTCAGATGCCTAAACATGCCCGGAGTCTTGTAACTTGCGTCAGCTTAAGACTGCGTTCACACTGCCTACCGCAGGATCGATCAAGCTGTCCTTACTTCGGGAACGTATCGGGGAATGTAGTACATCGACGGATCGGCAAGCAGCGGGAACCGCTTGAAGAGTGGGGAGAAGTGATTTCATCATGAGAGAGGCAAACAAGAGCAGATTGGGGATGTCGGGCCCAGATATTTCCAGATACAGTTGTCATCTAACCCGCCGCATCGACAAAGGATTGATCTTGCTGGCGGTTGGTCTGATACGCCGCCAATCTGCTACGAGCACGGCGGCGCTGTTGCCACATGCTTGCAGGGAAAGACGATGCTTCCATGCCAGCAGCATGCTGCAGCTGTAGATGAAGGTATTGTTGTGGTTGTACAACTACAAGTATCGTGGACCATAGCTATCCTGCTGCGTTTGTTGTCAAGCTGCATGTGGCTCATGTTGAGGAGCATCTTTGTACTTAATGACTCACGGGAACGCACCGACGTACTCGTATGCACAACAAGCGCTGCAAGAGATTGACAGGGAAAGGCCAACAGCAAGTCTGGATTGTCTGCAGAGTACCCACGCACAAACACGTGCACACACCGCGTAGAGTGTAGAGAAATATGTGATTGCAATCATGGCTGAGGGTAGGTTCTTCGGCGCCGATCAATTCAACCCACGACTCATCACGACTCAGATCGTTGTCATGCAGAGCTCTTTCTGGTTTTGTCTTGGCGCAGCCGTGGCTTTGGCAGATTGGCTGTTGAGTGAAGAACAGAGTGCAGCCCAGCTTTTTCAGCCCGAAGCGTACACTTGGACAACGAAAAGGGGATGGATTCTGGCCTTAGCGCTGCAGTTCACTTCTCTGGTAATGGCTGTCGAACTGCGTTTCGTTGTGCAGCGTGCCAAGAAGTGCTTGGATTTCGTGACAACATACCACCTGTTTCACCTACTCGCGACGTTCCTAGCGGAAGGCTTTCCTGCAAACATGGAATGGTGGATCATCCAGCTGCCTGCCCTCATTATCGCGGTTCTGCTGGGGGAGTACTTGTGCATGAAGGCCGAAACGCAGGACATCAAGCTGTACAAGAAGCCGAAGGTGTCCAGACCCAGCTTTGACGAGATCTAGTTGCACAATGCCTTCCCTGCCAGGCTGTGTCGACACAGATAGGATCTGCGTGGGAAAAGTTGCCGCCACCAAAGCCTCGACTCCTTCGCTTCCCAAAGCCCCACAGCCAGACGCTACTATCCAAAAGCTACTGTAGGGGACAGTCTCCCGCAGGGATCGAAAGCTACTCGTAGGTGGTCAGCTGGTGGTTTGGATCAGTGCTCAGGTGAACGTGGCAGTGCGTGTTGATGGGCGTCGGCCTTTGGGAGCCAGAGCCCTGCGTGTCTTGCTTGAGATCCAAAATGTGCGTAGTAAGGCCAATGACACACGTCTCGTGGAATGTGCATCTGTCTTATGAAATGCTCTATAAACCGGGCATTTATTCGCACCTTCTCAAAGTCTGAACAAGGCCGGGGCGGTCCCGCAGAAAAACCCTCGACTCCAGACGTCGGCACCGTATCCCATACCCGGAATACCTTGCGAAACAGACGGATGCCTTCGAACTGTTTGAAGGGATGTCACTGGAATCGGGCATCATCGGGTGCATAGATTCTAGCGTTTCGCTATAACTGGGCGGGGCACTTCAGGCCTCCGGGGCTGCCGGAAGGGCTGGGAATGTGCTGCTACAACAGTGGGGTACTGTCAGGATTTAGAAGTGGCCCAGCTTCCGCTGTGCTCGCAAACTTGGCTTCTAGCTGCGCTGCAGTGTATCAGCATAGAATATTTCAAGGGCAGTCGCCGTCGTCGCAGTAGCAGTAGCATGGCAGTGGCAGTGGCAGCAGTAGTAGAAAAACAATAGTAGGAGTAGGAGTAGTAGTAGTAGTAGGAGTAGTAGCAGTAGTAGTAGTAGTAGTCGTCGTCGTCGTCGTACTAGTAGTGGTAGTAGTAGTAGTAGTAGTAGTAGTAGTAGTAGTGGTAGTGGTAGTAGC